CCCTGCCTATCTCCCTGGGGGCTGATAGGAGATAAATGAAACAAACCACTTCTTCAAAGCACCCTCCTCAAGGACGGGGATCAAACACCAGGGCTTGGAAGATAAGCTCCAGCCTACATTTCCTTTGTCCATTCCTTCCCACCACATCTCCAAAGGAAATTCTAGGGGGAGGAAAAGTAGTTAATTCCTCTTTCTTTTATCAAAAGGAGTTACCTCCCCACTACACCACAATGGGCCCCGATAGGAGAAGGGGGGGCCCTTTCCTCGGGGGCTCTGCCAGCGATTCACTGTGTGACTTTAGGCTCCCCCATAAAATTCTCGGTGTCCTGTTCTTCATCAGTCTAAAGGGATGAAAACACCTGCCCAAAATAACTCAGAAAATTGTTGGGTGGGGGGTGCAGAGGAGGGGATGATGAACACGGAAACACAGATTTGGGAAAAGATACTTTCACACGTCTGTATAGTTGACATTTTGAAAAACACCAAGTTATCCACCTTGAATCTTTTTGGGAACCCAGTGAGGTGAGATGTAAACAAATAGCACTCTACAGCTAAAATCCTCATTCATTCAGCAACAAACATTCACCTATGACAGACAGCCTAGATTCACCTCCCAGCCCCACGTCTCAGGAGCTGGGACTTTGGGCAAGTGACTGAACCCCCACATCCTCCTCTGTGAAACGGGGTGAGAGAAGACCCATCTCTTCCAGCTTCTACAAGGATTAGATGAGATACTGTGGGCAGAGGGCTTGCAACGATGCTTGGCTCTCGGTGCTGGCTACTGTGAAGCTATTGCTAGGTGGTGAGAATACAAAGAGGCGGCGGACAATTCAGAAGCAGTCACAGCCCAATGGGAGAATGGGCAAGTCGACAAACGAGGGCAGATGCTGAGTGCGAAGTGTAATTATAGGACACAGCGGGGCGGTGAGAGCACAGAGGAGGGAGCTCCTTGGGCAGGCTCCCCGCGAGGCTGGCTGTTCTCGCCCCTCGGGCCCTCTCCTGCCCGGGGCTGTGTCTGAAGCTGGGGATGGGGCAGACGGAGGAAGTGCCTGCGAGGGCCCTGAGCGCAGGGCTCTAAATCAGGGCTCCTAGCCAAGGCGGTAATTGTCAGCCGCTGAAAGATATTAAGCGCCAGGGAGGAAAACCAAGTTCTCTATGAGGCAGACTTTTCAGAGTTCTTACAGCTTGTTAAAAAAAAAAAAAAAATGTAAATAGTTACCCAGTGAGATATTATTTCATGTTGTTGCTATTAGGGTTTGAGTGTTATGCAGAGAGAGGCGATCATTCAGGCAATTCTGCCTCAGCAAGGACTGAAAACTCCACATTAACCCCCACACAACAAATTCACCACCTCTAGCTCTCAGCCTGACTCAGGCATTTTCTCCTGGGCGGTGAATTTTATGTAAATTGAAGTAGTGAAAAAAAATCTATAAATAATCAGAATTTCCTAAAGGATTTTCTTGATGGCTTGGGGGGTGGGGGACATTTTTTAAAAAGACACATTTTGACTGGAGCCTGGGGGAGGGCTACTCTCATTTCGGGTCAAATTCTGGGACAGCTTGGGTCTTGCGGGCAGGCGGTGCCCAGTGCTGAGAGGCTCCGGATCCAGTTACTGCAGAGACTGGTCTCCAGAGTGCCAGGCCACGGATGCATGGATCGCAGCCATCATTCACCTGGGACTCCCCTTGTGCCAAGGGCTGAACATGTGGACACACATTGTCTGCTCCTGGCTTCCTGACTCTTGGAAGCCACTCTTACATTTCATACATGGGGAAAAGGGAAGGGAGGTTGACTTGCCCTGGCCCAGGCCCACCACAGCAGCATGGTTCAAAGGCCTGGCTCTGACAGACCCGATTCCAAGTGACCGCTCTGCCACTCACCAGTCAAGTGACTTTGGGGAAGGGACTAACCTTTCCAGCCTCACTCTCTTCAGCTGGAAATGGGGAGAACAGTACCTAAGGCTTATGGAGTGCCTGACACACGGGATGGCATGGGGCATCCTACAGCAGCCTTCACCCCATCCTATCCTAATGGTGCTGCTCACTCCCAGGGCAACCTGAGCAGGTCCTGGAGAGGGGAAGGCTCCTTAACCATACATCTGCCACTTTTCTGCAAGGCCAGGACATGAGCTGTATGTCCTGTACAACATCTTGCAGTGGCTTTTCAACCACACCCCTATAGCGCCACGCTATATAGTTCATGCCTGAAATAAATATGGCCTAACTCAATACTGAGCCTTACTCTCTCCCAGGTGGCAAGCCATTCCTCTGAATACTGCCCTTGCTGTAGGCCACTGGGGTCCCAGTTAGGATTCCATAGGTTAGGGCTTCAGCTAAGTGAATGTCAAATACCGATTGCAATCATTGTCTCTTCGTGTCTTAATTAGGCCCCTGGTCTAATATGGTAACCCATTTTCTCTCCTAAGGCAATTGGGTGGATTAAGCCAGAGGAGAACTGCTGCTCTCACCAGCACCCTGAAAGGAAAGGTGTCCCCATTCCCTTGCTAGCACTTTCCAGGAGAGGGGAAACAGGCCTGGTCTGGCCTCAGTGCTGTCAGGAGTCCACTGTTCCTATCTGTGATCACCGCTGTGAGCTAAGAACGTGGGTGGGGTTTTGTGGGCGTGGGCGTGGGCGTGGGCGTTTAAGGACAATATGTTAATACCGAGGCAAATTGCTCACCTCCCACCCAGAGCCTGCCCAGTCTACCCTCATCCCCTCTTTTCTCCTTTGCTTTCAATCATTCACTACCTTTTTCTTCTCTTTTCCTCTAAACATTCTGTCGTCCTCTATTCTCCCCTCTCTCCTGTCTGCTGCCTCCTACCCCTCTTTTCCTTCCAAATTCCTCTTCTCTCTCCCCACTGATTTCCCATTAATCATCCCTAACACACATCTGCTTGGGTCCTGGAAGGATTTTTTGGCTGGGTCTCACAGCTGGGCTGGTTACAATAATCAAGAAGGAGTCTTTCATTTCTCTCTGCCTCCTGGGTCTCCTCTCTTCCCAGCTCGTCCTCCTCTAGGGTGCCTGTAGAGGCCCACCCTTTTCCAGTCTGTAAGGCTTTCTTCTGTTCTCCGTCTGGGTAGCAATTTCCCCAAAGCCAAATAGCCTTGTAGGTTGCAGCAGCCCTGCCATGGACTTTTAAATGAGGTACTGGCATTGGCAGTGAAGTCAGAAAGCACAGAGGCTGGCACTGGGGGGGCACAGAGACCACCACATAGATGGGATCACCCCCCCTTCTTGTACCCCTCTTGCTGCAATATGGAAGATACCTCGCAGCCCGGGCATCCCTTAGCATTGGTTTCAACCTGACTTTACCAGGATTAAAACTGGGGTAGGCAGAGCCTGTGTAATTTCTAAGAGGTCCATGCATACCCCAAAAAGCAGCAGGGATGCAGGGAGTACATTTAGTTTAGTGTATGATTGATATGGCCCGGGAGTGGTGCCTGCTGCCTCCTTTCCTGAGCATGATAAATGTCTGGGATTGCTATTTGTTATTTCCGAGAGGGTTCTTTCTTTCCGTTTGGAGAACCCCTCTGAAATCACCTATCCCCATCTTGGGTTCTCATGTTGTTTCAAGGCATAGATCAACGCGGCAGAGTCAGGGAGGGGTAGTCCCAGAGCAATATGCCCCGAGTGACAGGCCTGACAATCAGCGTGATGGATTGGGTCTGAGAAAGTGGTACTCGAAGGGAGGCAGTGTCACCAGCGCGCCTCCACTGGCCGCTGAGAGCACGGGAAAGTGGTCTCCCTAGGCCGGCGCACAAAGGACCAGCTTCACCTTCTGATGATCCGCCAACCGGGAACTTTAATGTCAATACTTATGACTCTGTAAAATCTCTGCCAAGCGCGAAGCCGGCAATACACACTTAATCTAAAAGGCGCGGGGACGGAGGGGGAGGGTATTGTTATTTTTAACAAAAAGTTTTTATTCCAAGATTTCCCTGGGAAAAGCTAGTGCATTTTCCCCCACGAGAAGAAAAGATGGGAATGGGAAGGCGCAACTCTGGAGTCTGTATCGACGTGCAGCACGTAGAGAGAGATTCCACCCCCCTCCTCTGGGATACTGGCCTCTCCAGTGATCCTGGGTCCCCCCAAAATAGCAGCTAGGCGCGCTGCAGTGAGGGAATTGTGCGCCTCTAATCAGACACTGTAAGAAACCTGAAACACACCCAGGACCGAACCTATAAATCAGTGTGCAGGCAACGCTCGCCAGGCGCGTCCGGGCGGTGGGCACAGCCTAGAACACCGCGCTTCGTCGCGACCATCTCACCCCGGAAGGGAGTCCTCAAACTTGCAGGCTTCGGACAGGACAGGCTCAAAGTAGTTGGAGCGGCGACGCCGCGTCCCGAGAGCCGTGGACGCCTCCAAGGCTCGGGCGCTTCCAAGTGAGCACACCAGGGAGAAGCCAATTAGGGAAAGAGAGCTGGACCGGCGCAGAGCCGGAGCTGAGCTGGAGCAGAGAGGGAGCAGGGCCGAGCTAGGCTGGCGCTCCGGAGGCGTGGCCCGCCCCTAGGCGGCCTCCGGGAGAGGCTGGGACTCGGCTTCGACGGAGCCAGCGCCTAGCGCCCTTACCCACCCCCCACGCCCCACCCCAATCCGCCCCACCCCAGACACTCTCGGCTGGCGGGTGACTGACCCGGCCAGCACCACCCCCGTTGGTGTGAAGGGAGAGGGGAGGGAGACAGGAAAGCCAGCGGAGGATAGGGTGCGGAGCCCAGGGTCCTGGAGAAGTCTCGTCCTCTATGGGACCCCGGGGCAAGGGCGGCCGGGCTGGGGGGAGGGAAGGAGTACCGCGGGTGGTAGACGCCGAGGCTGCGGCGGCGCGCGGGCGAGGCCCCTTTAAGGTTCTCCCCTCCCACCGGCGGCGCCGGCCTCCGCCCGCCGCTCTCCCCGCCCCGGGGTCCCGGCGAGAGCTGCGATTGGGCGGGCGCGGCGATCCCTTTGAAGTGTGGCTGCCGATCGCGGCTATTTGACGTGCGGCTCGGGGAAGGCGAAGGTTTTTGTGTTGCTCGCCGGGGCTAGCGGCGGCGGCGGCGGCGGCGGCGGCGGCGGCGTCGGTGGAGGAGGGGTGGAGGCGCAGCGACTGCTGCACCGCGCTCGACGCTGCGGAGCGAGCCCACCCGCCCCGGGAGCTCGCCTCCCTGGTGCTCCCCCTCCCTCCCCGCCCCCCCAGTGGCGCTGCCTCCTCCAAATGAGCGATTCGCCCGCTGGATCTAACCCAAGGACACCCGAAAGCAGCGGCAGCGGCAGCGGCGGCGGCGGGAAGAGGCCGGCGGTGCCGGCGGCGGTGTCCCTCTTGCCCCCGGCGGACCCCCTGCGCCAGGCGAACCGGCTCCCTATCAGGGTCCTGAAGATGCTGAGCGCTCACACCGGCCACCTCCTGCACCCGGAGTACCTGCAACCGCTGTCCTCCACTCCCGTCAGCCCCATTGAGGTCAGTCTCCTGGTCGCTGCCCGCCCAGCGCGGGCCCCATTCCACCCACCACTGCCGGGCCCGCGGCCCTGCTCCCTGCGCCCCGGGGCTCGGTGTGACGCCCAGGTCCGGCCACGCCGGCGGACGGGGTGAGGAGGGACCGAAGGAACAGGGATCGGAGTCCACCGGGTTCTCCCCAGGCTTCTCCGTGGGAGGTTTCCCCTTCCACACTCGCCTTTCAGAGCTACGTGTTTGCTCTTGGATTGGGTTTGCTCTTGGAGTCTCCACTGGGTCCTTTACTTTTCCTCTGGCACCCAGTTTCCAGGCTAGAGATGATCTCTCCTTTCCTGCCTCCCCCCCTCACCCCCCCCCCACACACACCGGTTTGGTCTCTTTCAAGCCGGATCGCCCCCGTCCCACTCCGCCTCTGTCCCATCCGGTTAGAGCGCACTACGCCCCGGCACTCCCGATCCCAGGTCTTTCTTCCTCCCACTTCCCTGGGTGCCCTCCCCGGGAGGGAGGGGCTACTAGGAGAGCGCCAACAGCAGCCCTAGCTTTAGAATGCGCTTCTCCCGGCTCCTACCTCGCGGCGCCACGGCCAGAAACCCGTCCCAAGCGAAGTTCCCCAAACTGAAGGAATAAGTTTTCTCGTGGGCACAGGGGAGGTGGAGATTAGAGGGTAGGGGGCGAGTCACAGCCCCTCCCCCAGCCCCGACTCCAGACCAGTCACCTGCTCCCGCGGCGGCCTCTGGTGGACCACTTCCCCTGCCCCATTTCCCCGAGGGAACGAGAGATCCCACTCGGGCTCTGCGAGCGCAGTTCCAGCCTGCTGCGCCGCCCCGCCCGGCCCTTGCTCTCAGACCGTCAACCCCAGGCCTTCCCGTCCCGTCGCGCCGCCGCCGCCGGGGCTCTCCGCCCCCACCCAGCTCCCCAGACATCCCGCTTGCTCCGTCGGTTTGCCGGTCTCACCCCCTTCTCCCTTCCCTTGCCTCTGTCTCCCACAGCTGGACGCCAAGAAGAGTCCATTGGCGCTGCTGGCCCAGACTTGCTCGCAGATCGGCAAGCCGGACCCGCCGCCCTCGTCCAAGCTCAACTCGGTAGCAGCGGCGGCCAACGGGCTGGGAGCCGAGAAGGACCCCGGCCGCTCCGCCACGGGCGCCGCCTCCGCGTCTGCGGCCCTCAAGCAGCTGGGGGACTCCCCTGCCGAGGACAAGTCCAGCTTCAAGCCCTATTCCAAGGGCTCCGGTGGCGGCGACTCCCGCAAAGACGGCGGTTCCTCCTCCGTGTCCTCCACCTCTTCCTCGTCCTCCCTGTCCCCAGGAGACAAGGCGGGCTTCAGGGTCCCCAGCGCCGCCTGCACGCCCTTCCCCCCGCATGGAGCGCCGGTCTCTGCGTCGTCGTCCTCCTCCTCGCCTGGTGGCTCCCGGGGCGGCTCCCCACACCACTCTGACTGCAAGAACGGCGGCGGGGGTGGCGGCGGGGAGCTGGACAAGAAAGACCAGGAGCCCAAGCCCAGCCCGGAGGCTGCGGCCGTGAGCCGCGGCAGCGGTGCGGAGCCCAGCGCACACGGGGGTGGCGCGGAGGCTGGGGCCTCGGGGCGCAAATCCGAGCCGCCCTCGGCGCTGGTGGGGGCCGGCCACGTGGCGCCCGTGTCCCCCTACAAACCGGGCCACTCCGTGTTCCCGCTGCCACCCTCCAGCATCGGCTACCACGGCTCCATCGTGGGCGCCTACGCCGGCTACCCGTCTCAGTTCGTGCCTGGCCTGGATCCTAGCAAGTCTGGCCTGGTGGGAGGCCAGCTGTCGGGGGGCCTGGGCCTGCCACCGGGCAAGCCCCCGAGCTCCAGCCCGCTCACCGGGGCCTCCCCGCCCTCCTTCCTGCAGGGATTATGCCGCGACCCCTACTGCCTGGGAGGTTACCACAGCGCCTCGCACCTCGGCGGCTCCAGCTGCTCCACCTGCAGCGCGCACGAGCCCGCGGGGCCCGGCCTGAAGGCGGGGGGCTACCCGCTGGTGTACCCCGGGCACCCGCTACAGCCCGCTGCGCTCTCGTCCAGCGCCGCCCAGGCCGCGCTCCCCGGCCACCCACTCTACACCTACGGCTTCATGCTGCAGAACGAACCGCTGCCGCACAGCTGCAACTGGGTGGCGGCCAGCGGGCCGTGTGACAAGCGCTTCGCCACCTCGGAGGAGCTGCTCAGCCATCTACGGACTCACACGGCCCTGCCGGGCGCCGAGAAACTTCTGGCCGCCTACCCCGGGGCTTCGGGCCTGGGCAGCGCCGCCGCGGCCGCCGCGGCCGCGGCCTCCTGCCATCTGCACCTCCCCCCGCCCACCGCCCCCGGCAGCCCCGGGTCGCTGTCATTGCGGAGTCCACACACTTTGGGGCTAAGCCGGTACCATCCCTATGGCAAGAGCCACTTATCCACAGCTGGGGGCCTGGCCGTGCCCTCCCTCCCCACAGCCGGACCCTACTACTCACCGTATGCGCTGTACGGACAGAGACTAGCCTCAGCCTCCGCCCTGGGATACCAGTAACTACAGCTCTTGCACCCACCCGCCGCTCCTCTCCTTTCCCCCTCCGCCTCCCTCCCTGCCCCCACCCGCCGCCTCGCCGCTGCAACCTCCACTTCTGCTTGTCCCTGCCGGGATCCCCCGCCCAGACCCTCCCCACCGGACTGTGTATTTATTTACTGTAATGTTAGCTTACAAGCTGGGAATATAAGTGCATTAACGGCCCACACGAGTCAATGGTATGCAAAAAGTCTGTGTTCCCCAAATAATAATATTAATCACACAAATAACTACATGTTCCCCGCCCCTCTTCCTTTTATTTTTTTTTCTTTTTCTTAGATGTAAGGTTCTTTTTTTCCTTTTGCTTGTTTTTTTTTTTCTTCTTCTTTTTTTTTGATTGGTTTGGTTTTAGGGGGAGGAGGGAGAGTTGGGATTCTGGGGTTCTTCTATTTGTTTTCTCTTCCTGGGGAGTTTCTTGCATGCTTCCTAACCGTTAAGACTACATTTCCCCCTTCTCTTTTCCCCTCATTCCCCTTCATTTCTTCTTGTTTCCTTACATTTGAGGTTCTGTTTTATCCTTTGTACAAGAAACAGAGAGGAGATATTTTTTGTAACGTGTTTGGGGGGTTCAGGGATCCACCTTGGTGGCAAGAGGTCTTGTGTTCTATTGACCCAGAACTCTGCTCTGTGATTCGTCCCCTGCAACCCTCTCTTTCTGGGGTCCTTGATCTGCACCCTGGCCCCCAAAATTAGAGCCTTGCTCTTCTGTCTTGCTCTGAGCACTGAGAGCCCTGACCCCACCAGGAGGCTCCCCCCTGAGAGAGAGGCCCAAGTGGCCTCTGAACAGCCTTTCTACCTTCCAGACTTTTCATGGCCCCAAACACCCAGTAGTCACACTGCCTACAGGTGGGGGACCTGTAGGGCTTGTCTTACTCAATTAAAAGTCCTAGGAGGCCCTGCTAGGGTGAAACTTTGCTCTTTATTTTTTGCAAAGTGCATTGATATTCCTGTTTCATTCTCCATTATTGGGGCAGTGATCCCTCTCCTGATGGTAGGGGTAGGGTCAGTGATTCTTGCTAGATCCCTCCAAAGCAGACCAGTGGCAATATCAGAGGGCGATACAACCTTGGTAGCTCCACTGGGGGACAGTTGGGGAGTTGGGGAGTACACAGATCACAGTAGCCCCTCCCCCCCTCCCAGGCCTGACCCAACAGAATCCCCAAAGTTGGCTGTGGGCTTCCATGGGCTCCCTCAGTGACTGGGATTGAAGACTCGGACCCCTGGGTCTTCTCCCCACAACTTCCCTCCCTCCTGGTCTTATGCAGCAGTGCGGGGGGCTGTGGGGCCTGTTTGGGATGAATAGAACTCTCCCTTGGTAAGACTTATTTTGTTAATAAATGGAATACTTGGCTATATTCACACCGTGGTGTGTTTCTCTCTTGCCTCACCCACTGTCCCATTTCCAGACACCTGAGCAGATGTCCTTCTTTTATTCTTGTTTAAATACCTTATGGTTTCCTTCTGAGATTTCCGTTCAAGGTCGAGTTTAATGCCTTTCCTCAAGAAAGGGGGGGGGACACAAAACTTCTGCCAACGCATTATAAATAACATAAAACCGCCTTTATGGTTGTTTTTTTCTTTTCCACTTGGTTCTTTAGCTCCCAGGCTCCCTTCAAAGTCCTTGACATTTCCTGGGGACAGGGTGGAGGGAGTCTGTAGATGTGTTTTTTCCTCTGGGCCTAGAGTCGAGGTACAAGGGGCTGGGAAAGGAACCAGGACGCGGGGCTCAGACTCCTGGCAGCACCGGCCCCAGCGCCCTGCAGGTATGCAAAGTCGACGTGCCTCTGGCGCCACCTAGTGGCATAAAGACGAGTGACGGGTGCCAGCCCCGACGACGCCTTCCGCGCTTCCCACTCGAAATGCGAATAATTTCCTCTTCTTGACTACCTTTTATACGCCTTGAAACCAAAGAGTAAGTGCGCCTGCTGAGACTGGTGGTTTGCAAGGCCTGGGGGCTCCCCAAGGCTAGCGCTGGGTTGTCGATCCCAGTCATTCGCGCCTCCAAAGACTTCTCTGGACAGGGTTTGGGTTTTGCTGAAAAGGCGCGGTGATTACTCGGGACTCTGAAGCCACTCTCTGTCCCTGTTGTCTTGAGCTCACACGACTGACACTGGATTGGGCATCCTCGGGCAGGCGAGGATGGGGTGCCGTTTACCCGGCCGCTGGGACCGCGGCCGCCCCCCCCCCCCCCCCCCCCCCCCCCCCCCCCCCCCCCCCCCCCCCCCCCGCGCGCGGGGACTCCGCGAGCCCGGAGGAGAGGACGGGCCACCTGTACGTCCATCCCCGGCGGTGAGCCGCCAAGGCCGCCGGCTCCGGGCGCACCAGGCCGGGGACGCGCCTGGCCACCTGTTGGGCGCACTTCAAAGTGGGCTGCCTCGCCCCCTCCTGGCCGCTTTCCGCGTCGGCCCCGTGCAGCTTTGGGATGGGTTGTTGCGCTGCAGTTTTGCTTGGCTTTTTCTGTGAGGATTGCGACTTACCGGGCAGTTGGTGCTCCGCGAACTGCGTGCCTCCGAAACGTCGGTAGACCGGAGGTCAAGTGCGGAAGGGCGGTGTGGGAGGGATGCTCTCTCCGCCCGCCCGCGTTGCTTAAGACCACGCCACACCCCGCTAGAGAATCGCAATAGGGCCTCGGGACTTGACAAAACCTCAACGTTAGATGTTTTTTTTCGGGGGGGAGGGGGTTGGATTACGGTTTTTTGAAGTTTTGCCACTATATCTTTGTTTCTGGCCAAAATTCCTTCATTAACCAAGAGAACCTCAGGCTGCTTCTGCAGAAAATGTCAGTGCTGGCCACCGTAAGAACTTAGTGTGTCCCAGGGGAAGGGACCTGGGCTGCTGGTGTCTTTGGGCACGTGGGGGCCGCCGGGGGAGTCAGGGAGAAGGGCTGGAGAAGCCGCCCTGGGACCAGCTCAGGGTCTTCCTGGGGAATTATCGTTCTCCGAGTTCTCAAAGTTCAAATTGGCCAGAATCTTTAAAAGACCTGAAATGTTACGAGTTGCTTTGCTTTTTTTCTTTCTCTCTGTTGTTTTGTTTGCTGTTGGTTATTTCCCATCTTCCCTTCTTCCCAAGTCCTTCCTTTTCCTTCAGATACCTTTTTTTTTTTTTAATGCCTGCTAAAACCGCTGGAAATTGCTCCCTCTGCAGGAAGACTTGAGCTTTTCTCTTTCTTAAACTTTGCCGTCTCCAGACCTCCCTAGCTAAGTTCCTCTTGTTGGGATAGAGAAAGAAATAGATTCACTGTCTCCAAGAGTGAACTCTCTGTATAGCAAAAGTCACGTTTCTAGAGCTGCTTGGCTCACCCGGAGCTTAGAAACCCCTCAGACTATTGAGTTTCCCCAGAAAATATATTGGTGGTCTTTGCAGACTGGGAAGGATGCCGTGTGCCTAGTTGGAATGGGCTGTCCCCAGCTACCATTGTGACATCAAAGGGCAAGCAGGGTAGTCTGGAGTGGCCCAGTTCTCACCCTGAAATGTCAGCCCTCCTCACCAGAAATGGGTGCCAGTTCCTAGGAAACGTGGCTGTTTTAATTAGCTGGTGGGGAGTTGGTTACTTTCAATAGCTAAATTCTCATTAAACAAAGTTGCTGTTTTAATAGAGATAATACTCCCCACCAACTGCTTATTTGCATAATTAATTCATCCAGCAACTCTTTTCTTCAAGAATCACCTCCACCTTCTATTTCTCCACCCCCTTCTCTTCCTAGCCCTCCTCCCCCCTCTTCCTCCTAATCTCTCCCAGGCGCCAGAAATGGGGCCTGTGTTCCCAAGGCACGAGGAAGGGTGGAAGCTTGGAGCTGGAACTTGAGACCCTGGACGTTCCTGGCTCCAGGTCAGATTTTCACACCTCACGCCTGGTTATTTTTGTGGCCTCGTGGGCAGCAGTGGGAGGAGAGGGAGGAGGAGAGTCTCGCTCTCGGATACAGGTTTGACACAAACAGAACAGCGTGGTGTTCGGTTTTTAACTTGCCAGTCGTCGTCCCCCCCCAAACCCACCTCCCGAGAAATCCGCAGCCCAAGGGGGAGGCTGGGGCTGCCATAATTGCCTTGCCCTACCCAGCACACTGTGACGTGTCTCTCAATATACGAGCTAACTCCTGCCTGATGTATGTCTGGGTTACCGTGGAATTCGTCTTGCAATAATCCTGAGGCTCTGCACTTTATTAATCATTCTGTAGGGGAAGCTGCTCTCCAGTTTTCTGTTTGATTTGATTTCATTCATCCTGTCTTTTTGCAAAATAGATGGTTGAGTGCATCCGATAATGTATGGTTTAATTTGGAGCACTATGGGTTTGAATTACCATTTTCATAATGTGCTGTGCATTAATGTGTTACATCATTTATAAAGAGGAATGTGCTGGGTTTCAAACTTTCTCCTGAAAGCCAAAGTCACCTAAAGGAAACAAAGCCAAATCACATCGACCCATCTTCTTACCTCGCTGCCAGAGAAACTCCTGCCTCCCCAGCCCGGGCTAAATCTGCCAAAGCTCATAAAACCCAACATGAAGCTTTTGTGTTCACATAATGCAGGTGGGTGTCAAGGTTTGGGGGGAACTCGCACATGGCTGCCCGGGAGCCATCAATGGCAATACAAAACTCCCCCTCATTATTGTGTAACAACAGCTTTGCAGCCAACCCGGTTTGAGGAGACCTCCAGTGGATGGCTCTCCGTAGACCCTAATCCCAGCCCTCCCTCCCCAATGGCTGTAATAACGCCAGCTGTCTGTTACTCAAACTCTGACTGAGGAGGAAAAAGCACTGATTATCCAAATACAGTCATTAAAGGGGAAATGTGTTTTTAGGACTGTCAGAGTGATTAATGAGGGCTAGCTGTCTTTGCAAATGCACTTGTTTAGTCTAACTGGCAGCTTCTATTTTCCTATTGATTTATTGCAGCCGTTGCCGGGCCCTGGTGTGTGCGGAGTCAGGGCTCTTCACAACTGTGCCCTGTTTAAACAGGAAAAGCATGCGCCATTTTGTCCGGGAGGGAGGGAACAGCCTCGAGTCTCTCCCTTCGGGGCAGTCTCTGGGGGCCCAGACCAACAAAGGACACATTACAACCCTGCAGCCTGGAGAGGGAAGGAAGCCGTCTCCCCTCAGTTGTCCCCAGTCACTCCATTCCAAGGTCAGTGGAGACTCACCATGGCCCCTGGACAAGGCCTGTCCTATTGT